TCTAATCGGAGCGTCAGTAGGCCTTCTTTGCACATGTCCAAACCGTAAAGATGCATATGGGAATTAATTCTCTATTGACGGTCGATATTACCAGATATACCTTTTTTCTGAACCACATTTGTCACCCTTGGCCCGAGGGTGCTCTTTTACCTTAATATCATTACGGCAATCCTGTTAACTTATTTGAACATAAAGGTTGGAATCTTTGTAGGCCGGTTATAAATAAAAAGGATCTGGTTGAACTTCATAATGCATGCTACTTTCACAATGCAACTAGGACTTGCCTACAGGAAATTTAGCGAAATGGGACATATTATTTATTATTCTGGTAAGTTTAGGGCCGAAGCCTAAAACCATGCTAGAACTAGATTTAGGCTAGAACTAGATATGGCCTAGCCATGCTTTCCCCATCTTCCAGGAGACACCACAACACAGAATCTGGGTGATTCTGAGATTAGGCTTTATAAATCATATATTATGCTCTATGAACCTATTAGAAAGTTGATTGTGAGATGATTTTTATCTTCTCCCCTATATTTTTCTTGCTGAAGATCATGTAAAGAACGAGAATTGTTGAAATCATCTAACCATGGCACTTGTCTATCCACTTTTACAGATTCCCCAATTTGTTTTGGAAGCTGTCGATTCAGAATCTTCAGATAAACGCAAAAAGATGATGGTTGCATGTACCCAACCCCGTAGAGTGGCTGCAATGTCAGTATCCCGTCGTGTTGCTGAAGAGATGGATGTAACCATCGGAGAAGAGGTCGGTTATAGCATCCGTTTTGAAGACTGCAGCAGTTCCAGAACTGTGTTGAAGTAAGCTCAACCATCTTTTTCTGTTCTTTTTTATTGCTTTATCATTTGTACTCTTTTAGGGAGTCATTTAGCCGAGATTCAAGGGAAAGATAAGATACTTAAATAATATGCATTTTTTGTGTGGCAGGTATCTAACTGATGGAATGCTTTTAAGAGAAGCAATGACTGATCCACTATTAGAAAGATACAGCGTGATAATTCTTGATGAAGCTCACGAAAGAACTTTAGCAACAGATGTTCTATTTGGGCTGTTGAAGGAAGTGTTGAGAAACAGACCTGACTTGAAGGTGGTGGTGATGAGTGCTACGCTTGAAGCTGAAAAGTTTCAGGGCTATTTCAGCGGTGCACCACTCATGAAAGTTCCTGGAAGGCTTCATCCAGTGGAAATTTTTTACACTGAGGAACCTGAAAGGGATTATCTGGAAGCAGCGATTCGAACGGTTGTGCAGATTCATATGTATGAGACCCCAGGAGATATACTTGTTTTTCTAACAGGAGAGGAGGAGATAGAAGATGCATGCCGCAAAATTAACAAGGAAATTGGAAATCTGGGTGACCAGGTTGGTCCTGTGAAAGTGGTGCCTCTGTATTCAACTCTACCTCCAGCTATGCAGCAGAAAATATTTGATCCTGCTCCTCCTCCTGTAAAAGAAGGTGGAATTCCTGGAAGGAAGATTGTGGTGTCCACAAACATTGCAGAAACTTCTCTGACTATTGATGGAATTGTTTATGTTATTGATCCTGGATTTGCTAAACAAATAGTCTATAACCCAAGAGTGCGTGTTGAATCATTGTTGGTATCTCCAATTTCCAAGGCAAGTGCACATCAGAGGTCAGGTCGTGCTGGAAGAACTCAACCAGGAAAATGTTTCAGACTTTATACTGAGAAAAGTTTCCAGAATGATCTTCAACCACAAACTTATCCTGAAATATTGAGATCCAACCTTGCAAATACAGTTCTTACTTTGAAGAAATTAGGAATAGATGATCTGGTTCATTTTGATTTTATGGATCCCCCTGCTCCCGAGACACTGATGAGAGCACTAGAGGTCTTGAATTATTTGGGAGCATTGGATGATGATGGTAACTTGACCAAGCTGGGGGAGATTATGAGTGAGTTCCCATTGGATCCTCAGATGTCAAAGATGCTTGTAGTCAGCCCTGAGTTCAGCTGCTCAAATGAAATTTTGTCAATATCTGCCATGCTTTCAGGTACTCTATTTTCTATTTTGTCATTGCTTTTTCAGTTGTGTCTGACTTGGTTCTTATCTACATCAAGTAGATAAGTCGGGCTGCATGATTCTTGATTGCATGCCTTTGAGTCTCTTATGTGTACAGATTTTCTTTTTGTGCAAACACTGTCCTAACTGCTACATCTGCATGCAAATGCTTATGCATGTGGTTGAAGTGGTAATGTGTCAAATTAGGTTGTCATCAGCAACTGTCTTGTCTAGGTTCCCTGCCCCCGGTTGGCTTGTCCCTATGGATTTTTAAGTAAGTGCTGATGCATATAGTTGCAGTTTCTCAGTATTATCTCATGAAGCAAATGGTGTCGTCTCGCCTCTATGCATCTGCTAACGTTCCATGGGCCTCGTCTGTGATAACCAATTTATTTCTTAGTACCCAATTGCTTTGTCCGGCCTAGGGAGGCTCAAAAAGCTGCTGATGAAGCAAAAGCTAGGTTCGGGCACATTGATGGAGATCATCTCACGCTTCTGAACGTGTATCATGCATACAAGCAAAATAGTAACTACATTTATCTCATTATTTCATTACTGATTTGAAGTTGATCATCCGGTGGGTTGTCATATTAAAGTCTTAATTTTAATGGTGTAGATGAGGATCCGTCATGGTGCTATGAAAACTTTGTCAATCAGAGGGCATTGAAGTCCGCAGACAATGTCAGGCAGCAGCTAGTGCGCATTATGGGCCGATTTAACCTCAAGCTGTGCAGTACTGAATTCAATAGTCGCGACTACTACATCAACATAAGAAAGGCCATGCTAGCTGGATATTTCATGCAGGTGGCTCACCTGGAACACACTGGCCACTATCTGACAGTGAAAGATAACCAAGTACGTAGAATTATTCTTTACTTTCCATTTAGGCCGTCTATTATTCCCCTTTTTTGACTTGTCACAGTGTTTGTACTTGCTCCTGATATGTATTATGATCTTAATTTGCAGGTGGTGCATTTGCATCCGTCGAATTGCTTGGATCACAAGCCAGAATGGGTGATTTACAATGAGTATGTTTTGACAAGCAGGAATTTTATCCGTACAGTGATGGATATTCGTGGGGAGTGGTCAGTCTCTCTCTCTCACCCTTCCAAATACCCATTTATTAAGGTGAATCTAAATTGTGTCATCCTCGTGAGTGTATCTGTTTCTAATCTCCCAAATATTACATGTTTACAGGCTAATCGATATAGCACCCCACTACTATGATTTGGCGAATTTTCCTCAGTGTGAGGCCAAGCGTGTTCTTGAGAAGCTATACAGGAAGCGGGAGGACAAGGATGAGAACAAAAACAGAAGATGAAGTTCTTATCCCCGATTCTTCGGAATGTGCAGATTATTGTAAGGAGCAATTATTGAGAGCTGGTCGAAGTTGGCATATTTCAGCATTTTTTGTCTCCCGGCATCTCAATTGTCACTGTAATTGGGGAAAGGCCTTGCATTGTTTATGTGCCATTTCTTGAATGATATTGGATGTGATGGCCTTAATGGTATTCAAGATTTAGAGGCAGTTTTAACATTTGATTAAAGTGTAACACGGGGTTGGTTATTTGATTTATGACCAATGAAAATCTATTTTTCAAGCATAAATGTTGTGTTAGTGTAAATTGGACCTCGTAATCCAATATGTTTTTGGTCAATTTCTTGTGTTTGTTCATCTCATTCCATGTACAAATTCGACCCAGCTACCAGCGTTCTGCTTTCGTATGCCTTTCTCTTCCATCGTCTTCCTAAACTCTTGGACGCTGTTCCATACACCTCTTTCGCTGTGAATCTTTGACAGCGTCGAATAACTTGCAGGATGGGCATGTCCCAGTTTGTCAATTTCTTTAGCAACTAACTCGCCATGTTCGAAACTTGAATGCAAGCCACATGCCGATAACGAGTTCACAAACGTTACTTCGTCAGGTTTTTCCCTGGCATTGATCTGAAAGTGCAAAGTGCCGTGCCAATATCTCCGCATTTCGCGTACATATCAACAAGCGAGGTTGAAAATGTAAAATGATTTGGCCGAGTCCTTGAGTCCATGAAACCACATTCTTCTGGCTCATCTTGTCGAAACAGACCGAGCTTTGTTAATCCTCTTCTCATTTGCAAGAAACATCGATTAACTCCGTGTGGGTTTTTGGCTTTCTGCAACCCCAACAACATGGTGTTCCACGAAACGACGTCTCTCACTAGCTGCTGATCGAACAGGTCCTGTGCAATTGGCGCTTGGTCATTCCTCACGTACTCTGCAATCATTCTGTTACATGACAGAAGTTATGGGATGCAGGGAAACTGGCTGTCGGAAGCGTATAAAGCTGGCGGTAGTTTATCAGCTAATATGCTCAGAAGAACTTCTCCACGTACATAAGTTATGACATATACCCGCCAATATATAAAGTCATTGGTTTACTCATTTTTACAAAAATAAAAAATAAAAAAAAATTGGTGTCGAAATTAATTTATTTGTGGAAATGTTTAGAAACATAATTTACGATAAAATGAAGTTAGATAAAGTTAAAACAAACAACTAGGCTGTATCATTTAGAGATCCAAAAATCCCCTTGAAGTCTAAAGGTGTCCCTTGTAACTTTTAGTTGTGGTGGAAGGCCCAACTCCCATTGGAGGTGCTCAAAAACACAAAACAATGTACTAAGTAGTACTGAAACTGGAGTCAGGTAGAGGAAGCAGTTGTATAGTTGTAAAGTTGAGATGAGTTTAGCATAATTGCAGTAACATTCTGACTATATTATAGCGTAACAACAAAAGTTCGAAGAATACAAAATTACGTAACAAGTAGCATCCAAGTTCATGATCAACGCATTGTTAAAAGGGAGTTTTAATTAAAAGCTCCCGCTACTGTTTACTTTAACGAAAAATCATATTTTTACTCTAAAAAGTCAATCCTGTTACTATTCACTTACAACACCTTTTTGTCAATTCCGTTAAAACTCAAAGTTTTCAAGCTCTTTTCATTAGTTTTCCTTTATTAAAAAAAAATTAATTATCACTCTAACACAACAGGATTAAAACTTATTAAAATGCCATCAGCAGTTCGGTATGCATACATAATACATAAACACACATACACACATACACACACACACACACACACATCTATATATATATATGGAGCTCCTATGTTATACTGGTGATGATGACACTCGGAGAACCGCCACACATATGCCACCCTACTGATTTCAACAAGTCTACGACGTTAATTACTAAATTTTCTTCCATCCAGGGTATTGTAGAGTTGATCAATTTGAACCTGCATGTAAAATGCTTCGTTGTCAGTTGCTTTGCACGTGGTAATTAGCAATTAACTGTAATTTCGCAAGTGCGAAAGAGGGAACATATATGCAGTATGTATACCTGGTAATACTTGAGCAAGTGATTTCGTTTCTTCTTCAATGTTGCAGTCACCAAGTCTCTTTCCATGTCGAAGGGCCGAGGTTCTATGATGATTCCCTTGATGTATTGAAAGCCACTCAGCTGTTCGAGAACAAATCAAATGACACTAATCAAACACCTCATCTTGAAAATATTGGTTTAGTTTTTAATTAATTAAGATTCTTATAATTACCTTGTTCCTCTCAGCTATTAACTTAAGCTCAGCCATAATGTGATCTTTTAGCTGATCAAGAGAACAAAGATCCGAAAAGGAACCCATGTGACCGTTCAAATAAGCCCACTTCTTGGCGGTCTCTTCTTCCGGTACCACCACTGCAACAATCATCGACTTGAAGCTGTTTCCGTAGACCCAAATCTTCAAAAAAAGGAAGAAGAAAGCAGCCTCATTGAACAGCACGTTAGCATAAGCTCGTGAAACATACATGTAAAGAATTAGATGCTTACATCTTCAATAATAGAAGCAACGCCATAAACATTTTCCAAGTACTCAAGTGCAACATACTCTCCTTGTGAGAGTTTGATAAGATTCTTCTTCCTATCGATAACCTTGATGACTCCGTTCGGAAGTATTTCCCCTATGTCACCTGAGAAATGTTGTATGCCCCATCAATACATATATTTTTTCAATCAAATTATATTACTGGAAAAGGATTAATTATGATCATTAAATTAATTAACCTGTGTGGAACCAGCCATCTTTGATGGCCTCTCTTGTTAATTCAGGATTTTTGTAGTAGCCAGCAAAAACAGTCTTCCCTCTCACACATATCTCACCACACGGATGATCCCCAAGTGGATTGTAGCCCATTTCCGGAACCTCCTCCAGGCGCATCTCATTGTATACAGATACGGTGCCAACAGCACCAACCATGCACATTTCGTCAGGAAAGCCGAGAGTTGTCGGTCCGATAGTTTCTGTCAACCCTGAAAGAATTATCCACAACGCTCTTAATTACTTGAGCTAAAGTCCCCATATTCCTATTTAGCTATATATGTCCAAACAAGATATATTCACGACATTATCCTATACACTAACTGGGACTTATTCTAGCATATTACCAAGGAGATTAACTTTGCTAAATTTCTTCTTAGAAAGGGATTTACAACTTAATCTAAAGCGTAGTAGATTTATGCATGCTTAATTTTCATAAATACTGTTTACTGCTAAAAACAGAGTTCTTTACCATAGCCTGTGACTACGAATGCGCAGCAGGTAACTCGCAAGAATTCTTCGATCTCAGAGCTCAAGGGTGCACCTCCAGATATTATAAGTCGAAGTTGACCACCCAACCTAGCTTTGACCTAAAAACGTTAACAACATAAGGTAAGACTATTGTTGTGTGCGGATATTTCCCTTTGAAATAAAAGTTATTAATCAGATGAAAAATAAAAATACAACCTTTCTGAAGGCCAACAGATCCGCTATGGGCGATGCGTATTTGTTTTTATACCCCCTATTCATCCAAGCAAGTTTGCTGTATAACAAAAGAAAGATGTTAGCTTCGAACATAAGTGATGTACAATTAATAAAGTTGGAGGCCTACTTACTATTTGTATAGAATGTCAAAAATCTTCCTTCTTCTTGGATTAAGCTCTAGCACTGCTTTCTTTATACCTGAAATACAGGTGAGTCTGAATTATTACACATATCTGAAATCCGCAAAAAAGTATAGTTTAATTCTGCAGGCAGACAGAAAAGCAAAACTTCTTCCTGCCTTCATGTATTTCAAAAACTCGAGGTACCCCAGCAAGAAGCGTTGGCTTTAACTCCACCATGTCATCCCTCAGTGCATTAAGATCCTTCAATTAGAGAATCAATGCAAACATAATTAACAGAGTTGGGAAGTTTATGGTAGGATTTTTCGTTAAGATGATATATGAAGGATTTGTTTTATAATCTCCCAACAAGATACAAAAAACTCAGGTAGCATACCCCATGATAATAGCCAACAGCAGCACCATTGCGGAAAAAATACTCCTCAATCACGCGGTCGAGGATATGAGCCAAGGGAAGGAAAGATAGATAGACATCATCCCCTGTCATCTACTCAACATCATAAATTAATGCACAAGTCATTATAACAGAAATTATTATGAGCTAACAAGGTAATTAGGTACCGCTTGAAAAACACAGGAAATGGTAACACATACTTACCTTGTCTTCAAATTGTTCCATAAAGAGATCAATCCCTCTCACTCCATATGCAACATTTTCATGTGTTATCACAACTCCTTTAGGATCTCCGCTGGTGCCGCTTGTGTACATAATGCCAGCAATATTATCTGTCGTTGGTGGAACAATCTCCGACGGATTTTGTTTACCCTGAAAACAAAAAACTCTATTCATAACTGGGTGAAAAAGCGAAAGGAGTAGCAATTAAAAGAAAACATTGCTAGTATTGGTCTATTTCAAAATAGTGCAAGGGTTCCTTTCCTTGCTATGAAACTGTTGATCCTAAAAACTACCAAGCCTACATGGCGCACAGGCCGAGTAATCTACGAGCTAACTACGTCCTTCGGTGAATGCGGGGTGTGCCAACTCGTCGGCCGAGGAGTAAAATTTGTTGATGTTGCGTTGGGTGCGCAGCTGACTTCTGCGTCTTGCGATTACGGTCGAGGAAGGAACACATCTCGACCTCTTGGGTTCTCGAACCTGAAGACAAGGCTACTATTCTTACGAAGTTCACAAATTGTCGTCGTCTGATTCGGTCATAGTGATGATATTCGTCAGAGTAAACTCACACCGAAACGACACCAAAGTGTAAGGGCACAAATACTCAAAGCGGATATAAGTCTTAATAGTGAATGTGGTTCGGCCGTCTGAATGCCGAACTCTAAATCCCACTTGAGAGTATCCAATCATAAAATAACCCAGCGTGCAATGCGCCGAGCTCAGTAAGCTGTAACACCTCACTTCGCCGAGAAGGCTAATGAGATGACCTCGATCAATAATGATTCGGAAATCCTTGTCGACCGAGACTTGGATAGGTAACCAACCGTCCTCGCCGCAGTGTTGTTGATGCCAACGGAAGATGCTACGAGATCGGCTGATTCTACGACGACAGAGCTATCTATGCCGACTGAAGATATCACCGGTTGCTTTCACAGTGCTGTTGATGCCAATGGAAGATGTGTCAGCGAAAAGGGAAAATAAAAAATCTCAAAGTTGTTGAGAGAGTTTGCGCTGGGCAATTGTGTGTTGAATTGGAGGGGGTTGAACAATGCACAGCCTCTTCTATTTATAGCATCAGATACTTCCTAAGTAGAGTTAATCCGAGTAGTTAAACCCTACTCGGATTAGGACTTCTTCTTCTAATCAAACACCATCTCGAGTACTCCTACTCCCATTAGGATTTTGGACCTAACCTTTCTATCAGGCCGTATTCAAAATGTGTCTCGACCTCCTCATCTCACCGGGACTCCTTATCACACCAGGATTTCTGTTAACCGCAGACTTCCCCCGCCTCTTCCTTATCCAGGCCGTTCCTTTTCCTACTAGGATTCAAATGACCCTAACCATGCGGCCCATGAACAAGATGACCCCTAGCAGTTTTTAAATAAATCCTTCCGGGCCGAGAATGATTCTACACTCGGCCCAAACCAATATTTTGGGCCTAAACAGAAACATACAAAAGAAAAAATAAAAATAGTTATGCTGGTTAACATAGAGAAACCAACCATCTCCGTGAACTCATTCCATGAGTACGGTTTTATCCCAATCTGCACTGATTTGTTCTTCTCTTCATCCGTCATTGAACTGAAGCAGACCATAACTGTAAACACAAACAAACTCAGCACAAGGTCTTTGAGCAGATGTAGGGAACATGAACTAATCCAGTCATTCTTACCTTTTATTCGTTTAGAAGATGTAGAATCAGGTTTCAGTAGCTGCAAAGTAAAGAAGTTGTATCAAATCAGAACCATCTAGTGCTTGTGAAAATGATTATGTGGAATTTAAGATTTGATAAAAATGTAGATCGAGATATTTGTTTCTCACTTCTTTCACTTTCTTATCTTGGACAAAAACAACGTCAAGCTCTGCGTGATCTATAATAAAGTTTACAGCTCCTGGACCTGCATCAACACATTCCTGATCACTTGAGAGAAGTTCAACTAAATCTCTTGACATCAATGAACCCCTCCAAACAGCAAGTAAAAAGAATCACTGTGATTATTTACGAATATTAATTACCAAGGGTATCGTAGAGAGGCACGCAAATCAAACTGTGAGCATTACAAGCCTACAGAAAATTTAAACAAGTTGATCATCACATGGTTGATCATACAAATCAATCATAATGAATAAAACATAAATATATATACACACATATATAAGAAATTAACAAATGAAAAAAGAGATTGAAGACGAAACCAAACACCAACCTCCATTGCCATAATCCACTGAGGACAATTTGCACCATAAATCCCAACCCGGGAACCCTATTCCGTCGTCAAATCCAAAAACGAGACTAGCTTCAGTTTTCAAAATCAACAACCACTGACTACTCAAATTGAAATCCCCTTGAATTATATTATGTGAACTTACAGGTTCAACACCGGATAATCGCAATGCAGAACCAACATCCAGAACTTCGTCATAAACCTCCTTGTATGTTTTCCAAGTGTAAGGCCCTGGCTAAAGAGCATACACAGTAATAAAGTTAAAACTCAGTTTCCATTTTTTACTGGATGTGATGGTGGTAAATTATCAGTGCATTACTTAAAAACTTTAAAATGTACTTCACCTTCCCATCAACCATTTTACGCCATCCAAGCATTCGATTTCCAGGATACTTCTGGACAGATAGACTGCGCATCAAGATTGTCAAAGAAATGAACTATTAGAAGGTAACTAATGTAGTAAGCGTCTAATCAAATTACACACGTTCAAGTAAATCTGACATACTATAGGTTGAGAATTGAAAGTACCTAAAGAGGTCCCAAGATGAATTAATTTGGCGATCAAGCGGAGGAAAATCATTTTGGGCGAGTAAATTACGGTACACTGGACCGAGTGAAGGCTTGCCATCCTTGCCTTCTCTTCCTTCCTCCACTGCAACTGAGAAAATCTTCATTCTTTTTCGGTTTTCAAGAACCCTGAACGTATGAGTTAACAGTCAGCCGAAAAGTCCAGACACAAAGTACCATATGTGATGTGAACTTATGTGTGAAAATAAGCCAAGGTCTCGAGTTCAAACATTTATCTTCCCCATAATCGTAGTTTAGAGTAGTAATATCCATTCTAATCAAGAACAAAAAACTTCAAGAAGTCCAAACAGAATTTAAGAAGATTGAAGAAGCACTATATACTTGTCAAGAGTCTAAAGCATCAAAATCAACGGTCAATTAAACCAAACCAAGAGTCATCATTTTAGAAAATGAGGTGGTAACGTAAGGAAAAGGATCCTCGCCGGATTCTTTTCCTAGGGATCCGAAGCCCCGTGATCATGACCGTTCATCTTACATCGTGCAGTCAGAAATCATTTGAAATCTAAAATTTAAAATTAAATATAAATAGTACCTAACAAAAAATAACCCCATAATGTATAATTAACGACCATGATCACGAGATCCTCTCGATGGAGATAAAAGGATCCGGCCGTAACGTAAAGCCACGGAAAATAAGCCACCTTTTGACAAGCCCTCCGAGATTCAGGCACATAAAAGTACGAGACGAAAAGTACAACTAATTTTTCTTCAAAAAAAAAAAAGGTACAACTAATTAAGTAGCGACTTTGATTAAGGTTTTTTTTAGCAGAGTGAGGCGAATGTATAGGGAAGCAAAAGATTATGACTAGCTATAACTTCACCAACCAAAAAAATTAAAACAAAAGTATAAGTAAATAAATGCAATGAAAGAATTTGAGGAAAGCCTTTTGAGCTACTTAACCTAGGTTTTGAGCTAACTTCACCGATCCCCTTTCTTTTTAATAATTAACAATTAACAATGAACAATTTAACCATCAATGCTATCGTTAAAAAAAAATAAAACGAAAAAAGAGAGATCTTTTTTTTTTTAAATACAAATGAATTCATTAAAATTAAAATTAAAAATCACATGTAGATGGACATGGAGAGGGGTATAGTAAAGCAACACGACAAAGTAGATGATGAGAGCCCTTGACATTGAGAGTTGAGAGACAAATTAATAATCCTGACAACCGGAATTTAATATGCATACGATCCAACCAAACATGACGCTACAAACAAAACAAAATTTGGCAGACAAACAAAACCCTTGGCATTTGACCACCCAAATCCATCATTTTAAATACAGATTACTTAACATAACCATTTATAAATACATATATATATATATATATGTATGTATATATCGTTATGAAGCGAAATGCACGCCTAAACATAGCTAGCCATGCACAAGACTGGCTAAACTTGCATGATTTTGTGTGTGTGTGTGTGTGTGTGAGAGAGAGAGAGAGAGAGAGATGAATTACTTACAGAGAGAACTGGGAGAGGGACGAGTATGGAAGTGAGAGACACCTTCACGAGCGGTGTAGCTTCAAAATATATTTATGAGTATTTATGAGAAAAGGAGAAGGCAATGGGGGTCGTTAATAATTAGTTAGTTGAAATAATAGGTGGGAAGGATGTAGGGGAATAAATTTAGGGGTGTGCTATAAATGTAGATAGCAAGAAGGAAATTTTCCAAGTTTTGTTTTTGTCCCCTTCAATATTATTATTTTTATCACAACATTTCTTTGGTGTACTAAATTAAACAACATTCAAAGTGAAACATGATATGTGCCCTAAACACGAAAGAAATCATTTTTTTGGAACTTTTGTGTATCTGTTAAGTCTTACGTTAATCAATGACATAACATAATTTTTTTAATAGGCCAATGTCAAGTAATGTTATCAATTAAATGAATAATAGATCTATTTATGGTCAATTAGCTTCAAGCCCTTTGACCATGTTCGGGTGAAAAAATTTCAAGTTCAAGGAACTGATGCCAAACTAATAAAGATGATCACATAATATTAGACAATAGGATTAGAAGTGCACAATATATGAGTATTAAAATGGCATGAAAGAGACAATTATGAATAACTCCTTCTAAATAACATAAGGATTTGTAATCACATTTATGGTGCAATTTAATCTCTCCTAAATAACATTTCTTGATTCATTACTTACTAACTCGAGCTCAGTTCCTTAGAACTTGGAAATCCGTCACTCAAGGCCTGGTAATTTTGTTTGTTATGGTCAATATATATCCTACTAATAGATCCGAATGAACCATTTCTCTCAACCGATGACTCACTGAGTCACAGCACTACTTCAAACCTCAAAGTGCAGATGGTCTGCAAAACCTACCTAGACAGAGAGCTTTTATTACTTATTTCCCATTGACGTAATGCAACTCGGGGAAGTTGCACCGGTAAAAATCAATAGTCATTACATACGCACCTTAGTTAAGTCACATCCATCACCCAAAAAGACCAAGATAGCTGAATAACTCGACCTTATAATTAGTGTTAATCCTCACCCATTGGTTAACAATATGCAATGATATATGGGTCACATCTTCTTATCCTTTTGGATAAATTAGTTAGTTGCCGGATTTCTTTGTATATACTTAGCAATATGTGTCTGCAAAGTTTAAGCATGCTTTCTTGCTTTCGATTATTGTGACGACCCGTCTCTAAATTTCTATGTAATTTTTTTCCCCGAGTATGTAAATTGACATTTATGTCATTGTGGCCAAAGTGACATGGATGTGGACGTGGTTATTCAACTTTAATTTATTTTTCTTGTTATTGTAATTAATTAGTACTCATTGTTACGATTGTGTGAGCATGAATTAGATCCGAATCGGATTTGTAATGAAAAAGTTATGCACAGTTAAAGTATGTTAACAACGGATAGAGTTGTACACGTGTGTGTTAATTTATCAGAAATCATTTGAAATTTAAAATTTAAAATTAAATATAAATAGTACCTAACAAAAATTAATCGCATTATGTATGATTAACGGCCATGATCACGAGATCCCCGGATGGCCGGGAAAAGGATCCGGCCGTAACGTAAAGCCACGGAAAAACAGCAACCTTTTGACAAGCCCTCGGAGATTCAGGCACATAATATGCATGACTACTTTCAACTAACTAGTTAAGGCAGAAAAGTACGAGACGGAAAGTACAACTAATTTTTCTTTAAAAAAAAAAGGTACAACTAATTAAGGAGCGACTTTGATTAAGGTTTTTTTTAGCAGAGTGAGGCGAATGTATAGGGAAGCAAAAGATTATGACTAGCTATAACTTCACCAACCAAAAAAAATTAAAACAAAAGTAAAGTAAATAAATGCAATGAAAGAATTTGAGGAAAGCCTTTTGAGCTACTTAACCTAGGTTTTGAGCTAACTTCACCGATCCCCTTTCTTTTTAACAATTAACAATTAACAATTTAACCATTAATGTTATCGTTAAAAAAACAAAAAGAAAAAAGAGAGATCTTTTTTTTTTTTAAATACAAATGAATTCATTAAAATTAAAATTAAAAATCACATGCAAATGGACAGGGAGAGGGGTATAGTAAAGCAACACGACGAAGTAGATGATGAGAGCCCTTGACATTGAGAGTTGAGAGACAAATTAATAATCCTGACAACCGGAATTTAATATGCATCCGATCCAACCAAACATGACGCTACAAACAAAACAAAATTTGGCAGACAAACAAAACCCTTGGCATTTGACCACCCAAACCCATCATTTTAAATACAGATTACTTAACATAACCATTTATAAATACACACACACATATATATATATATATGTATGTATATATCGTTATGAAGCGAAATGCACGCCTAAACATAGCTAGCCATGCACAAGACTGGCTAAACTTGCATGCTTTTGTATGTGTGTGTGTGTGTGTGTGAGAGAGAGAGAGAGAGAGAGAGAGATGAATTACTTACAGAGAGAACTGGGAGAGGGACGAGTATGGAAGTGAGAGACGCCTTCACGAGCGGTGTAGCTTCAAAATATATTTATGAGTATTTATGAGAAAAGGAGAAGGCAATGGGGGTCGTTAATAATTAGTTAGTTGAAATAATAGGTGGGAAGGATGCAGGTGAATAAATTTAGGGGTGTGCTATAAATGTGGATAGCACGAAGGAAATTTTCCATGTTTTGTTTTTCCCCTTCAATATTATTATTTTGATCACAACATTTCTTTGGTGTACTAAATTAAACAACATTCAAAGTGAAACAGGCTATGTGCCCTAAACACGAAAGAAATCATTTTTTTGCGACTTTTGTGTATTTGTTAAGTCTTACGTTAATCAATGACATGACATAATTTTATTAATAGGCCAATGTCAAGTAATGTTATCAATTAAATGAATAATAGATCTATTTATGGTCAATTAGCTTCAAGCCCTTTGACCATGTTTGGATGAAAAAATTTCAAGTTCAAGGAACTGCCAAACTAATAAAGACGATCACATAATATTAGACAATAGGATTAGAAGTGCACAATATATGAGTATTAAAATGGCATGAAAGAGACAATTATGAATAACTCCTAAATAACATAAGGATTTGTAATCACATTTATGGTGCAATTTAATCTCTCCTAAATAACATTTCTTGATTCATTACTTACTAACTCGAGCTCAGTTCCTTAGAACTTGGAAATCCGTCACTCAAGGCCTGGTAATTTTGTTTGTTATGGTCAATATATATCCTACTAACAGATCCGAATGAACCATTTCTCTCAAGTCTCAACCAATGACTCACTGAGTCACAGTACTACTTCAAACTTCAAAGTGCATATGGTCTGCAAAACCTACCCAGATAGAGAGCTTTTATTACCTATTTACCATTGACGTAATGCAACTCGGGGAAGTTGCACCGGTAAAAACCAATAGTCATTACATACGCAACTTAGTTAAGTCACATCCATCACCCAAAAAGGCCAAGATAGCTGAATAACTCGACCTTATAATTAGTGTTAATCCTCACCCATTGGTTAACAATATGCAATGATATATGGGTCACATCTTCTTATCCTTTTGGATAAATTAGTTAGTTGCCGGATTTTCTTTGTATATACTTAGCAATTTGTGTCTGCAAAGTTTAAGCATACTTTCTTGCTTTCGATTATTGTGACAACCGGTCTAAATTTTTACGTAATTTTTTCCCCGAGTATGTAAATTGACATTTATGTCCTTGTGGGCAAAGTGACGTGGACGTAGACGTGGTTATTCGGCTTTAATTTATTTTTCTCGTTATTGTAATTAATTAGTAATCATTGTTACGATCGTGTGAGCATGAATTAGACCCGAATCGGATCTGTAACGAAAAAGTTATGCACAGTTAAAGTATGTTAACAACGGGTAGAGTTGTACACGTGTGTGTTAATTTATCAGTGTTGGAAACACTGTTTTTGATAAGGAGATGGATTTTTGTGTACGACTTACTGTACAAAATTTGAAAACCTTATCATTTTTCTTCTTTAAAATTGACTTGTGTACCCATTCCCCTCACCAATCAGTTCATTTCCTTAATTCCTTCACCCAATCAGATTTTCTTTCTTTTCCACCAATCAGATCACTCTCTTTCCTCTCTGCCCAATCAGAAAGATGTCTCTCTCTCTCTCTTTCTCTCTGTGTCATCTTCTCCTTCTCTCTCTCCCTCGCCCGTGACTCTCTCCCCTCTGCAACACACACACACACACACCATCATCAAAACTTGCAGATTAAACCCAAAAACACCACCATCACACTCATCTCGAACACGAACTCATCCGTACCAACCGATCATGAAATGATCGAGATTTGAACCTCCAACTTAGAGCAACCCAGAGCTCCGACTTGGGTGGAGTTTTCCCCGACGAGATTTCGTTCGATTCACACGATTTTGGGAGTCTTGGAAGCTTCTAGGTGACTCCCCAAGGCCATTAGCCTAGTTTTGAAGTGGAGCCAACGAGGAGACCCTCGGGTTTGAGACAATGAAAGTAAGGCCGAGAGTGTCAAGTGGATTTTGATCCATTTCCGTCCACGTTTTGGACTTTTAAGAGGTAAAATCTTATTATCCTCTTCCTGGGCTTCAAATCCATACAAAGTTTGTTAAAAATGGTTAAAAATGAAGAAGTATGGCGTTTTGAAAATGTTCCAGAAACTGGCGAGCTTTCCCTAGTTTTCGACGAACTAGACAACGGTGGATGGCAAAAGAAGACCGAAGAAGAAGGGGAATATTTTGTTATTCGACGAACTAGACGGCGGTGGATGGCAGAAGAAGACCGAAGAAGAAGGGGAATATTTTGTTAAAGTTAACATAATATTCTAACTCCGTTAAACTTAACGGAATATTCAGTCAGATTCTAACGGAATATTCCTTGGAGTCTATTAGCTTCTGTCAATGCATGGCCTGCACGTGTGGCCATGTCTTGGCGACGAGTCCGGCCACCAGTTGACGAGTGGTTGACATGTACGGGTCTGCGTTGTCGAGTAGAATGTTTTCGTATATTTAAACCCTATGTATGAGCAAACTATGGGGGGTTTCCTAGCCTCTTTGTGTGTGTGTTAATTAATTTATTATTTTATTATTTTACATATAGGAGAAAATTATCCTGAGGAAGTACGAGGTCAAGTAAGGCAAGGAGGCTACGATCCAACCACTTATTAGTGAATGGGCATTTGTTTTCAGATATATATTTATACATTTTTTCGTACAGATTGCAATAGGCAACTCCGACTTGTATGTGACCGCGAATAGCGCTAGTCTTCACATGATTATAGCACTAGAGCGTATATTATGATTACACCCAGTCCTGTCGTACAAGTTGCATTAGGCAACTCCGACTTGTGTGCTAACATAGATTAATGAGCATCAGTTAGTCATACATGTTGCATTAGGCGACTCCGACTTGTGTGCTAGCATAGATTGATGAGTATATGATTTTATTATGCTACTGTCAAGATATTGTGATTGGCATATTTATGGATTTATTGTTGATTTGAATTGATTTTTGTACTTATATCTAGTATGAATTATAAACCTTTGTTTTTGCCCACTCACCCTTCTATTTTTCGCCCCTCCAAGTCTTAGATAACTGAATTCTCTGTGGCATACGAGGAAACTCCGGTGGATTCTGACATACCTAAATAAATGTAGGGAGCTTTTCCCGGTTGTGTATTAAGCACTTTAATTAGTTTCGACTGCACTACTTATGTCATCTATGCTCTGAACTTTTGTGCTTTATAGGTTCTTTCCACTTTTGCGCACTCTTTACTTAGCCTAAATAAATGTTCATTTACTTTAAATTTATCCATATTTTTATGCTTTACTTTCTTTTTTGGTTACGTCACCTTCGGGTGACGGCCAGCATGCCTCGACTCCGGTCGGGGTGTGTCAGTTTGGTATCAGAGCATAGGTTTGGCAGTTCTGCATCCTTCGTATATGCTATAGGTTCTAATAATTTATGATCTCTTATGTCACAATCATGCCACCTCGTAGAGTGCCACCTATCCCTTCTGAGACTAATTTCCTGATTTTGGGCAACTCGGTGAGGCAATCGCCAGCGCCATTCAGTCCACACTTCATTCTTCTCAGATGACTACCCCAGAGACTATGACCCATCTTCAGATAAATAATTTCTTTGGCAATGAGGGACTCGAGAAATCTGAGGTTTGGATCAACCATGTTGAGAAGATTTTCCGAGTTATGCAGGGACAGGAGAATCTTCCAGAGGAGAGATGGGTCAAGACAGTGACTTGGTTCTTCCATCTTAGAGTTGGATCATGGTAGGCTCAAGAGTCATGCCCGTTGTCTACTCAAGATGCCATGAATTGAGATGTTTTCAAGCGTCTATTTGAGGTTAGATTTACACCTCTAGAGTACAAGGATCGAAAAAGAGAAGAATTCACAGAGCTGAAGTAAGGTAAAATGTTAATCACAGAGTACCACCGAAAGTTCACTGACTTATCCCGTTATTGTCCCAAGATCGCTGGGAATCCCAAATAGATGCTCTATTATTTTAAGAAGGGGACTCGTAAGCGACTGAGTTCTTTGGCGACTTTTACTCCATGCTCTACCCACCAAAAATTCTTTGAGGTTCTGCTTCGTGTTGAAGATTCCAAGAATGCTCCTGATGATGATGATGATGATGATGATGATGATGATGATACTCAGAGGAATAATAATAGAGGGTAGTCATCTTTTGGCCCTCGAAAGACTCAGAATTTCAAGAGAAGTGGTAATAATTATGGATAGTCAAGCAGTGGTTCAAGTTCCAATATGCTGCAAATGGGCGGCAATTCCACCGGTCATTCACGTTTTTAGATACAAAGGAACCCTAGCAATTCTGGTGCTCCGCTCTGTCACAAATGCAATAATCGTCATTATGGTCAATGTAAAAGAGGAAATAGTGGGTGTTATACTTGCGGTCAGATGGGACACAGAGCTACTAAATGTCCTATGAATCAGAAACCTTAACCTCTTACTTTACCACCTACAGTTCTTCTCTAGTAGATTCAAGGACCTGGTACCTATCAGCAGACAAGTTATGGGGGTGCTTTTCATTATCAAGGTGACATACCCCAGCACCAGGGAGGAGCATATCGGTACCCGCCTAATGTTCCCTATTACTAGGGCAACTATCCACAGTACCAAGGGGTTAGCACAATGGTATGCTAAAGGACAATACCAGAATGTTGATGTAGCTTCCAGCAGTGGCGGCTCGACCAGGAAAACTAATCAAACCAACCAAGGTCAAAGTAATCAGGGATGCAGAAACTAGGAAAATAGGGGTTGAAGATGCAGACAACAAACGCAGGGTCGCCTCAACAACATCACATTGCAGGATGCTTAAGGTAACCTCGACTTAATTATGGGTAAGTTGAATGTTTTTTGCCATCTAGCTAGAATTTTAATTGATTTGGGTGCTACTCATTCAGTCATTTCCCATATGTTTGCTCAAAAGTCTCAACCTTACCCCACTCCTCTCGGTTATGATTTGGAGTTCTCGATTCCTAGGGGTGAAACTTGTTATGTTAGTTAGGCTCCTTATTTTGAGTTCTCGAGTTCTCGATGCCTCGATAAGGATTGGACACCCTCGGTACCAACCCTATTTCTTTAACTCCTTATCATATGGCTCTTGCAAAGTTAAGGGAATTAAAAACCCAGCTGCAAGAACTTGTTGATAAGGCATTTATTCAGCCGAGCACTTCTCATTTGGGAGCTCCAATCTTGTTTGTGAGGAAGAAAGACGGAACTTTGAGGCTATGTTTCGATTATAGACAGTTGAATCAGGTGACGATTAAAAACCTTTATCCGTTGCCTCGTATCAATGATTTTTTTATCAGCTCTGTGGTGATTGCATTTTCTCGAAAATCAATCTAAGGTCCGGTTATTATCAATTGAAGATCAGAAGTGATGATGTTTTGAAAACAGCATTCCGAACTCGATATGGTCATTATGACTTTGTTGTGATGCCATTCGGGGTTAACTAATGCTCTAGCAGCTTTTATAGACCTGATGAATAGGGTATTTCATCCATACTTTGACAGGTTCATAATTGTCTTCATCGACGACATTCTAATGTATTCTAAGAACAAGGCTGACCATGCTAGACATTTACGTCTGGTTTTGAAGAAGCTAAGGGAGAATCAAATGTACACCAAATTCAGTAAGTGCCAATTCTGGCTGGATCAGGTGTCCTTCTTGGGACACGTGATATCAACTCAAGGTGTTCTCGTGGATCCTAAAAAAGTAGCAGTAATGGAGAATTGGGAGCAACCTCAGACGGTCACTGAAGTTAAGAGTTTTCTTAGTCTTACGGGCTATTATCGACGCTTTGTGAAAAACTTCTCAACCATAGCCTTGCCTCTGATAAGGTTGACCAAGAAATGAGTTAATTTTGAATGAAGTGATGAATGCAAACATATTTTTCGACAATTGAAGTACCGTCTCACTCATGCATCTATTTTGGCACTTCCCGATGACAGTGGGAATTTCGAGATCTATAGTGACGCCTCTCTAAATGGTCCGGGCTGTGTGCTGATGCAGCATAGAAAGGTGCTTACGTATGCTTCACGACAATTAAAGCCCCATGTGGTGAATTACCCTACTCATGATCTTGAATTAGCAACTGTTGTTTTCGCTTTGAAGATTTGGCTGCACTATCTTTATGGGAAAACATGTCGAATCTTCACTGACCATAAAAGCCTTAGGTATATCTTTACTCATAAATAACTTAATCTTCAGTAGCATAGATAGATGGAATTGATCAACGATTATGACTGCACTATTGAATATCACCCTAGTCGTGCGAATACTGTAGCAGATGCTCTTAGTAGGAAATTTCACAGTCGACTCAATGTTTTTTATGCATGTCGTGTTCCTCTTCTCACCAACCTAAAATCTACTAAAACCACTTTGGGAGTGGATTACCAGGAAGCTCTACTTGCCAACTTTCAAATTAGACCAGTTTTATTGGTTCGTGTTCTCGAGGCTCAGATGAATGACTTAAAATCCCAGGAGTTAAAACAAGTGGTGTTGAACGGCAATATGGGAGATCTCAGGATTCGAATACCTGAGGGTATGCTTATGCAAGGCGATCGAATATATGTACCAAAGGTTGAAGAACTAAAGAAAGAAATACTCGATAAAGCGTATATCTCAGCTTATGCGATGCATCCCAGGAGTACTAAAATGTATCATATTATCCAACCTTTCTACTATTGGCCAGGAATGAAAAGAGAAATTGCAGAGTATGTGAGTCGTTGTTCGGTCTATTAGCAAGTCAAAGCGGAGAGAAAGAAACCATTTGGGTTGCTACAACCACTTCCTATACCTCAGTGGAAATGGGAAGATATCACAATGGATTTCGCGTACTGCCTCGTACGTGTAATGGCTATGACGGTATTTGGGTGATTGTAGATCGGCTTACAAAGTCAGCTTATTTTCTACCTGTTTGTGAAAACTACTCTTTGAGTTGGTTAGTCGAACTTTTTATCTCTGAAACTGTCAAGTATCATGGTGTTCCTGTAATATTATTTCTGAATGGGACCCCAGATTTACTACAAAATTCTGGGTAGCTTTTCAAGAACTTCTAGAATCGAAATTACTCTACAGCACTACCTATCATCCTCAAACCGAAAGGCAATCAGAGAGAGCTATCCAGACGTTGGAAGACATGTTAAGATCTTCAGTCCTGCAGTTCGGAGACGCATGACACAAACGCTAACCTTTGATAGAATTCGCCTACAACAATAGCTTTCACTCCAGCATTGGTATGTCACCATTTGAGGCCCTTTATGGGAAACCATGTCGTACACTGTTGTGTTGGTTCGAGGTAGGCGAAAAAGTTCTGGTGGGCCCTGAAATTATGGATGAGACGACACATAATATCCAAGTGATAAAGGCTTACCTAAAAATAGCACATGATCAATAAAAGAGTATATCCGACAGACATTCGACAGACAAAGTATATAAGGTTGGAGATTGGGTATTCTTAAAGTTGTCACCTTGGAAAGGCGTTGTACATTTTGGGAAGAAAGGAAAGCTAAGTCCTTGTTACATCAGACCTTATGAGATTATCAAGTGAGTTGGTGAAGTTGCATACCAACTTAATCTACCTCCAGAGTTGTCAAGAATGCATAATGTGTTCCACGTGTCCATGTTACGGAGATACATCTCTGATCTGTCACATGTGATTCTTCCTCAACTGTTAAAGATTAACCCAGATTTGGCCTATGACGAGGTTCCAGTGACGATTCTGGACTGGAAAGACAAAGTTCTCAGGAACAAGACTGTTAGTATGGTGAAAGTCTTATGGAGGAACCACTCTGTTGAGGAAGTTACCTGGGAGACAAATGAGGGTATGTGAGATCTATATCTACGTCTGTTCTTTAATTATGATCTTTAGTAGTGTTGAAATTTTGGGGATGAAATTTTCTTAAGGGGGTAGATTGTGACGACCCACCCCCAAATTTCTATGTAATTTTCTCCCCAAGTGTGTAAATTGACATTGATGCCCTTGTGGGCAAAGTGACGTGGATGTGGTTATTCGACTTTAATTTATTTTTCTCGTTATCGTAATTAATTAGCACACGTTGTTACAATCACGTGAGCATAAATTAAACCTGAATCGGATTTGTAACGACAAAGTTACACACAGTTAAAGTACGTTAACAACGAGTAGATTTGTACACACGTGTGTTAATTTATTAGTGTTGGAAACACTGTTTTTAATAAGGAGACAAATTTTTGTGTACAATTTATTGTACAAAATCTGAAAACCTTATTGTTTTTCTTCTTTAATATTGACCCATGTATTCATTCCCTTCACCAATCAGTTCATTTCTTCAATTCCCTCACCCAATCAGATTTTCTTTCTTTTCCACTAATCAGATCACTCTTTCTCTCCTCTCTACCCAATCAGAAAGTTGTTTTTCTCTCTCTCTCTCACCTTTTCATTCTCTCTCATATCTGCAGCGTGCGCACGCACACACACACCATCATCAAAACTTGTAGATCGAACCCACTGTCACACTCATCTCGAACTCACGAACTCATTCGTACCAACTGATCATGAAATGATCGAGATTTGAACCTTCAACTTGGAGCAACTCAGAGCTCACACGGTTTTGGGAGTCCGTTTTGGGCCCGACCACGCCCTCACGGTTTTGTTTCTGGGAACACACACAAGAATTTCCCAGTGGTCACCCATCTTGGGATTGCTCTCGCATGAACTCACTTAACTTTGAAGTTCCTACGGAACCCGAAGCTAGTGAGCTCCCAAAAGGCCTCGTGCTAGGTAGAGATAGGAATATACATATAAGGCTTACATGATCCACTCTCCTAGACGATGTGGGATGTTACAATCCACCCCCTTTAGGGGCCTGACATCCTTGTCGGCATACTACCAGCTAGGGATTGGCTTTGATACCAAATTGTCACATCCCGGCCCGGGCCCCACCACATCCCAGGCTCAACTCCACCGTAGCACGATATTGTTCGTTTTGAGCCCAGGTCACACCCTCACGGTTTTGTTTATGGGAACTCACACGAGAACTTCGTAGTGGGTCACCTATCCTAGGACCGCTCTCGCCCGAACTCGCTTAACTTTGAAGTTCCAATGGAACCCGAAGCCAGTGAGTTCCCAAAAGGCCTTGTGCTAGGTAGAGATGGGAATATACATATAAGGCTTACAGGATCCACTCCCCTAGGCAATGTGGGATGTTACATTTTGGACTTTTAAAAGGTAAAATCTTATTCTCCTTTTCCTGGGCTTCAAATCCATATAAAGTTTGTTAAAAATGGTTGACAAATGAAGAGGTTATGGTGTTTTGAAAATTTTCCAGAAACCGGCAGGATTTCCTCAGTTTTCGACGAACAGATGGCGACGGACGGCGGAGGAAGGCCGGAAAAGAAGGGGAATATTTCGTTAAAGTTAACGAAATATTCTAATGTTGTTAGGTAACGTCGTTAGACTTAACGGAATATTCCCTAGGAAGGTTCTAAAAAATGCTAGGCGTTAGTCAGGTGGTGGGATAGCGCCTAGGGCCTAGGCGGCTAGGCGGGGTCTATGCGGATTTAGGTAAATTTTTTATATTATATGAATTAATTAAACTTACTATATCATATGTAAATAATTATTGAATAATATGTTATTTCTTATAGAAGAACATACATATGTGAATGTTGTATGTACATATATTATTTATTTTATCTACATAATTTGATGGTCTAAGAAAAAAAACATTATCCAAATCATTCATATAAAATTTACATATATATATATATATATATATATATTATATGTATAAATCTCAAACTTTTGACAGCTTTTGAAAAGACAAAAAGTAGTGGGTGGTTTCATAATGCAAAGCCGTGTGCCACTTCACCTCTTTCACATTCCCAAATGTGGAGTCCCAGATCATCACACCTTTTGACCCTTTGAAAATTGAAAAACCCTTTCTATTACACCTTTTCGTTTCTTCTTCTTCCTTAGCCCTTTAAGAGCCCTTCCAGAGCCTTTCCAGAGGTTCAAACTGAATCATTGGATTTGTAGCTCACGCCACTTCAGACTAAATGTCAAATACCTTATCTCTCTCATTTATTCACAGACGACAAGCTGCAGAAGATCGTCGAGGCTTTGCTGCTACGTACGACATTGAAAGTTTCAGATTTGTTGTGAGAGTTGCAGCAAGTTTATGATTTACAGCCGCCTAGACTGCCGCCTAGCGACGCCTAGACCGCCTAGCGACCGCCTAAATCCTCCCCGCTTTAAGTAACCGCTTTGGCCTAAATCGAGTCGGGGCTTCGTCGCCCAGCGCCTAGGCAGCTACCTAGGCCGATTTTTAGAACACTGTTCCCTGGAATTTGTTAGCTTCTGTCAGCGCGTGGCCCACGAGTGTGGCCATGTGTTGGTGGCGCGTGACGGTGTATGAGGCCACTGGCCGGCGAGTGGTTGACATGTACGAGTCCGTGTCATCGAGTAGAATGTTTTCGTATGTTTAAACCTTCCGTTTGAGTAAACTATGGGGGTTTTTCCGAGCCTCTTTGTGTATTTGTTAATTAATTAATTATTTTAGTTATTTCACATATAGGAGAAAATTATCCCGAGGAAGTACGAGTTTAAGTAAGGCAAGGAGGCTACAATCCGACCACGTATAAGTGAGTGGGCATTTGTTTTCAGATATATATACTTTTTTTTTATAGTTTCCACAAATGCTTTTGAATTGATTTATGCATATCATGCCATGATTAAATAACGTTATAAGAAATGTTGTACTATTGTGAAATGCTAAAATAATCCTACGGGATACGCAGGTAAGTTTATTATGTTGACTAGAATTATTGAATCGTTATGGCATGCTTAGATTTATGTAGTCTGCTCATCATTGCTACACCCTGGTGTTAGTGCTCGCCTAGGGCCAGGGCCAGTGTTTCATATGTATGTTCACATCCACACCGCACGCTCGCCTTGGATCCAAGTAGGTGACAGTCATGTCGTACAAGTTGCAATAGGAAACTCCGACATCTTGTCATACAGTTGCAATAGGTAACTCCAACTCGTATGTGAATACGAATAGCACTAGTCTTCATATGATTGTAGCACTATAGCGTATATTATGATTACACCCAGTTCTGTCGTACAGGTTGCATTAGGCAACTCTGACTTGTGTGCTAGCATAGATTGATGAGGCGTGTAACTAAATATATATATGAAAACAAGATAAGATACAGTCCTTTAGTATGTAGGCTTCAAAGCAATATTTTGTAGTTCTTTCTATTCGATTAATGAAATAGTATTCGCAATTTGTAGTCAGTTTGTTCTTTGGTTTGTTTGTTAGTTTTTTTTTTTTTTTCTTCAAGTATGTTTTTCAACTGCGAGTATCCTCCTCGATCATGTTCTTCATTTGTTTAGATCTTCTATTTGCCCATTTTATGAATGAAATACATTGTATTCTCTTCATATAAAAAAAACAAAGAATTATAATAGGGATAGTTTAGTTTCGGTTCCTGGCCTCTAACTGTTTTAGATTGAAGTCTATCTCCACATAAATAACATAATAATAAAAGAGATGTAATAATATCAATAAAGACTCAAACTTGTTATAAACTTCTTATTTAAGTGTGATTGTGTAAATCCTAGATTATATTTAAAGGAAAACTAATGAAAAGGGCTTGAAAACTTTGAGTTTTAATAATAAGGACAAAATAAAGGGTAAGGTGAATAGTACCAGGATTGACTTTTTAGTGTAAAAATATGGTTTTTCGTTAAAGTGAACAATACCGGGAGCTTTTCGTTAAAGTTCCCTATATTTAATTCTAGTTATTCTACCCTATTAGGACTTGTATTCCTTGGAGGAGAAGGATTTCTTCTCTCCCTTATTACAATAAATAAAGACACACTGTAGGGGGAATAACACATCCTCTACACAACCCTACAAACACATCTCTCTCTCTCTATTTTCTCAGTGTTGTCGACCCTCCTCTCTTTGTCAGTTAAATATAAGCCACAACAAGTTATCAGCACGCTCCTACCGCTGCGCTTAGGAATCTGACGTGGAAGTTTTCTGTATTAAACCAGTTCACCAATGTCATCATGCAAGCAGGTTCTTTCAAAACAACGGTTTTTATCTCGATATTTTTGCAGCTCTGATAGCATGAACATTCACCATAATGCATGCCCCAACTTTATGTTTTTCAAATTTAATATTCTACATAAATTGTGTATGCATTATATCTATAATTGTTGAATTATGTGAATTGATATTGCCATGAATTGCATCCTATATATGTTTATTCATTAAATTATTTAATTAAATATGCATTGAATTAATTGAAAAAAAAATCAAAATTTTTTTTAGGGTTCTTTGAACCCATGACTTGAGCCTACACTGGAGCCAGAAGCTCCACACCTTTGGAACCCAAACCCACGACATTGTCCATCTGCCAAACTTTGACACCCTTCACGGCGTCCCACGCATGGCCTGCAGCCATGCCCTACCATCCCCGACGACTTGCAATCGTCACCGACTTTGATTTTGGTCGAGATTTGTATGAATCTCCATGGATTCGAAAACCCAAGATTCGAATCCAAGGGTTTTTGGTTTATGGACGTCGAGATTTGCCATTTTTCTCCATCACACTATCGAATTCCATGTTAAACCCTTAACCTATACCGAGTTCTTTTGACCAGAACACTGCTGCCTGAAGCGGCGACACCAGCCTTCGTCTCCGGTGACCACACCCAGCAATGTTGAGGTGTTCTTTTGGCTGAAACCCAAGCCCAGTTGGGTTGTCCTTCTCCGCCTGCAATGGAAATTTGTTCAAATTAGGCTCGCTTGATGCAGCCTAAGTCCACGGCTTGACCTAAAGCGCGACACCAGCCCATAAGGCTATGGTGTCTTTACGCCCATGATGCACCAGATCCCAACCACGTACTGGTGCATCCGTGTTTCGCATGCATGCAATCCCAGCCTGCAACTGGTGCATTAGTGCACGTGCACGCGTTGCATCTGATCAGTGCCCACTTGGGCCTCTGTTTTTGGACCTTGTTCTTGCAACCCATTTATTGCTACTACACTTGTAACCTAAATTCTGTTTAGGGCCTGATCAGCCCGTGTCTATCTAAGCCTATTTTTTAGGCCTGGACCACGGTACAAATTTAATTAGCCAATATGTGGGCTTTGACCCTTATTTTGGGCCCCGAATTTAATTGCCTAATTATTTTTTAGGCCCTATGGGTTTTATAATTTTTCACCCTCACTTTAATCTTTGGCTTGAAGTCCAAATAATTAATTCAATTATTATAATAGACCCTAAAGATCTATTTGCATTTTCTTTTTGTTGCATATTTATGTATATATTTTTGTGTTTGTCTGTAGGAACACATGAACCTAAAGTTCATAATTATTTCGAAACCTTAAGTTTCTAGAAACATGCCTTGTTTGAAAACCTAAAGTTTTCCTTAAAAACATCACCCATGAAAACTCGAAGCTTTTTCTTGTAAAATTAAACTAATACATGTCTATTAGAACCTGAATGTTCTACTCCTATGTGAATGGATTGATTTTTTTCTCCATTATGCTAACCACATCATGTCCATTTATTTTGTGATAGGAACATGTCGTATTTGAACAAACTCAACTTCACCGCTTTAGAGGTCTCTAGAAGAAGCTACCTCAAGTGGGTTCAAGATGTGAAGCTCTAACTCACCGCAAAGAATTTGCATCCCATCAATGAAGATGAGACAGACATGTCCTCATCCATTCTGAAGTTTGTCGAATTCGATCACTTCTCAAGTTCTGTAACGAGACATTGACCGAACAGGATCTCATGGAGAAGACTTATTCGACCTTCTCTACTACTAATATTGTCATGCACCAACAATATAGGGCTCAAAAGTTCACTAAGTTTTTGGATTTGATCTCTGTTTTACTTATCGCTAAAAAGTAGAATCAGTTGTTGATGAAAAATCATCAAGTTTGACCTACTGGGGCGACTGTTGTGCTTGAAGCACATTATAGCACAAACCAACGCCCAAAATTCCAACATAGGTGTGGCAGGAGCATCCAGAATCTACCCCATCAAGGTCAACAAAGCCAAGGCCCATCTAAGGGAGGAAACCGAGCCCCAAAATGCCCTAACCTTGCTCCCAAGACCCTAAACTTCAAGAATGAATGCGGACATATGCTACCACTGTGGTTCAAATGACCATTGGTCCAATGTTTACCGTGCTCCCCATAAGGTTGCAGCTGAATATCATTTTCATCGTAAGAAGTTTGAATCAAACTTTGTGCAAGTGGATGAACCAAAAAGTACCAAGATAGAGGTTTCTGACTTTCAAAAGGATACCACCCCTATGGAAGATTAGAATCTTAAACATGAACTATTTCTAGTTAAATTTTAGAATAATGGGGCCAAATTCCACATAGTGGGCGAACCCCCCTTGTTTTTTGGTTTAATTTT